GCATGTCCTTAATGTATTTTTGCCAAGCTTATTCATCTAATTTGCTTTTCAAGGGTGAGCATCAAGGAGTCATCGGTGGCCAAGTTGGGCTCAGTGTGCCGCCGCATCTATCGGATATTCTCTCACGCTTACTTCCACCACCGCCAGATATTTGACAAATATGAGGTGCGTTTGCTTGGGAAATGACACTAGTCACCTGTCAGATGGGCAAAAAAATGTAGTTTTGTGCATCGTAATGAATGAGAACATCGGAGGAAAGTTGATTGAAAAACTTATCAGAATGTCACTTCATACCTAGATTCTGTAATACAAAGTCATTTTAACTGCTGTTGTCGTATTCTAATCTAATCTACTCTTTATGGTTAATTTTGGGTTTAGGTTGGCGATCATTTTATCACCAAATTTAAAAAAACGTACATGAAAAAAATGTATTTAGTCAATATTTTAATTGAGCCAAGTAATTGTAGCTTTTTTATATTCAAATTTATGTATATGAATATGTATATTATACAGTGGATAAATCTACACACGCGCGTTATATAATTTTGTTTGTCATAGCAAAATTAACTCAAGGCAAATCATTTCAAACCTTTTTGCACCACTAGTGTGACCTATAAACTGTACTACCCATTTGGAAAAATTATTTTTATTGAGGGAAAGTCAAAAACAGCTCTTGTAACATATGCTCTCATAAACTGTGATGACTTTAGAGCAAAACTAATTGAAGTACATCCTTTTTAAGTGTATTTAAAAACATATGTGACTAAATCTAGAGTAGACAAGTTCATTTCTTCAGTACTATATGTTATTTGTAATCATTTTTTAAAATGTTATGAAGAGACAAAAATAATCCTTTGGTACAAAGATATTGCCAAATCCAACACCAATAATTTATTTTTGTACTACACAATGTAAGATTTCAGGTTCATGGGGTGGGTTGAAAAAGACGAGGCAAAAAACCAAAAAACGTAACAAGTACTGGGATTCTGCGCACTGTTAATAGGTACGTTTGATAGCGAATAACAACCCATGTCAGGTTCCCCCAAATTCCGCGCATTTTGCTGAGCCATAAGCGTGCAACGCTTCCCTACAGTTTGATTTTACTTTCATCCTAAGATTTTCACCTGAACGCCAACTTTTTTTCGTTGTACATACCACTCCTGTTTTTGTTTTATGATGATATTTGTGCGCCAACAGAATGAAACATTCCTGTGTCACCGCTTCACCCGCTTTGTGATGAAGTACAACCTGATGTCCAAGGACAACCTGATCGTGCCCATTTTGGAGGAAGAGGTGCAGAACACCTCATCGGCCGGCGAGAGCGAGGCCTGAGAGAAACCCACGTGAATACGCCCGCACACGCACACAAACATCTACCACACACTACTGTACAGTGTACTAAGACCTACTGCCCAGCACCTTGTTGCTCCTTCGTCAACAACGTCAAGTGCAAGGGAAGCCTGCGGGACAATTTAGTTTCCTTCTCTTGTTTGTTAAAAAGCAACACACTTCTCCTTTAGGGAACCTTTTATGTATTGAGAAGCTGGATTTGCAAAAGAAAAAAAAAATCTCAATGATTGACTGTATTTTTCGGACTATATGTCGCTCCGGAGTATGTGTCGTACGAGTCAAAAAATGCATCACGAAGAAAATAAAACATAGCCGTTGCTCCGCAGTATAAGTTAGATTTTGGGTGACATTTATTTGACCCCCAAAAAACAATACCAACCTCCTGTCTCCTCTGACCGTTGGGAAATTCAGAGCGTTGTTCAAATAGTGCGCCGAAAAAGGAGTGCCACAGATCAGTGGGTCATGCAGTACAAGGAAAGGAAACTTCATGCCTGAGCTGCTGATTGCTTTATAACATAGGCTGCATTTGGAAAGTTGAGTGCGCTCTACCCTTCCAAACGTACACTCCCCTGGAGTGGGGTGTCAAACTGAAAACGCTTCCTGTGTTAACAGCAGCAAATGAGTTGTCGTTGCCATCGAAAATTTCGTTAGTAAGTGTGTAAAACATTTTTGGTTTAAAATGGCTTACCTCATGAAAAATCCTGTGTGGCATTGTGGCCAAATGTAGAATCCTGGACACTTACTGCACCTTTTGCTGGTTCAAAGAGTAAATCCTTGTTGTGGCAGACATATGTTCACGGTGGCAGCAGTTACATCACACTTTTGTTGCCATGACTACAGTTTTTGTTGTTCTGCTTCTATTTCTTCCTTTATTTTGATGGTGGGCAGATACTTTGGTTGCATTACTGCCACCTTCTTAAGCATACAGCACAGAAGGTGGCCACAAGTGGTAATGCATGACTACTTCTACTGTCTTTGCAGTCGGCAAATACTTTTGGTGCATTACTACCAGTGTGCAGAAGGTGGCGGTAATGTACAGAAAGTCAACAAGAGGATATAACAGGGATTTTAGGTGTTCGGGCTCAAATTTTAATATACTGTGTACAAGTCGCACCTGAGTATAAATCGCAAGACCAGCCAAATATGCACAAAAATAAGTGCAACTTATAGTCCGAAAAATACAGTGTCTGTATTGTTGACAAAGGCACACACTATTGACAGCCATCCCCTGTGTAAATAGCCTGTTTGAGCTTGTTTTCCCGACAGTACTTCACTGTTCTTTTTCTACGTTTGCTTCATTTTCGCTCTTTGTTTTGTGTCGCCCGCCATTTTGTGTCGAGGAAAAGGGGTGGAGGGTCAATCAGTAATTTAGCTTGCTGACTTTAAGAGGCTACCAAAAAAAAAAAAAAATCCTCAAAACGTACACGTGACGTGCGTTAGTGAACAAACAACTCCTAGCTGTCCAAGTGTGCTCACAATACTCTTGATGTTCATAACGTGGCTGAAAAGTCAGCTTAAAAGGCATAATGTCGGCCATGTTTACACCCCTTCCTTTCTGTCACCCTCATTAAGTTATTTTGTTTAATCTAATCCACTTTTTTGTTGACGTGAACTGAAAAAAAAAGTTATTTTACTTAATATAATCCATTTTTTTTAATGAACAACAAAAAGAAAAACTTTGTTACTGTTTGTGACATTTTCATGATGTCTCATAATAAAAGACTTATTATTCTGGAACTCGTGTGAAAATGTGTATCAGAAATGAAAACTGTGACAAATGATGGGGATATGTATTTATTTCAGTAAACACTATCCATACCAGGAATCAAATGTACAAAACAAGTGGAATTATTACAGAATTAATACTCGATTTAAATGGTCTTTTCACTATTACAGCAACATTAATAAGCAACATTTTAATCATGGAAGAAGGGCTGTGTAGCTTTACAACTATAAACACAACCATGTCCCGCTTATAATACTGCTGTAGTCCTTTGTAACACCATGATTTATGATTTTAATACCTAGAAACTAAATTCAATGTAGTACCATATCGTGTACAAGTAATACTGGTCAAGATAATGATGTCTGAAATGGCATCTGTCCGACTGAGCCAACATAGCTGCCTTCCAAGCATGGCACGCTGTGTGAGCGTTCATATCGGGACACATTCCACTTCCAGGAAGACAGAAGTGAAGAAAATGACTATCTGAGGAAACTCCACTCAAATCAAAATAGTGCCAATACTTTTGTCTAGTCGAAATGTATTCGAGCAGGCTACCATTTCTTCCTCCTGTTTCCCAGGAAATACAATGCGAAGTGATTGGAATGTGTTCCATCCAAAAAGTCAAGGAAAAAAAACAACACTAGACATGTTTTTGCATAAACCGCCTCAAACCAATAAATAAATAACCTGCGGAGCAGCGAGTCACTCTCTTAATGAATAACAAAATCAAAAGGCTGCTTGCAGTAGATCTCAGCTTTGAATGATTTGGAAACATGGAAACTAACCTAAAATTCTGCTCCACATGGTCCAAAAGTAGAACAGGAGTTGAGAATCACATCGATCCCACTCCATTTATATTTCATTTTTGTAATTATGTTTTCTTTGGATTGTGTATATAATTTTAAGAGTATCCGTGATGACAAGACAAAAAGCTGTGATGAAAACCACAGAACAAAAAAAAAAAAAAAAGGAGGAAAATACTTGGGGCCAGAACCATTACTCATGAGGTTCACTAGACATTTGTATTTAATTTTTACTGTTAACAATATGGGGCAGCATGGTGGGCTACTAGTAGGTTAGCATGTCGCCTCAAATTTTTACTGTTAACAATATGGGGCAGCACAGTGGGCTACTAGTAGGTTAGCATGTCGCCTCATAGTGCAGAGGTGCAGGGTTCGACTGTGTTTTCCCCCTGCCTGTGTGGAGTTTGCATGTTTTCCCTGTCTATGTGTGGGTTTTTTCCGGGTACTCCGGTTTCCGCCCACATTCCAAAAACATGCATGACAGGTTAATGGAACACTCAATAGTCCCTAGGTGTGATTATGAGCGCGAATGATGGTAACCAGTTCAGGGTGTACCCTACCTACTGCCTGAAGACGGCTGGAATTGGCTCCAGCACTCCCGCGACCCTCATGAGAATAAGTGGATTAGATATGGATGGATGGATGTTAACAATATGTATTTGAAAAGGTAGCAAAATTGACCCTCTGCCAAGCAGCACCTGGAAAATGTAGACTGGCCACTCGCTGTCCAGCAAAGATCAGACAAACACTTTTTTGTGTTGTTCTTTTAAAAGGTAATCTGCAGCCCACCAGAAAGACGCTTGAGCATTTCTTCAATATTCTCGATATCCAGCTTCAGCTGCACACTAGTAGTTTCTTTTCCTCACTAGTGGTACGCAGATGCAGAATACTGCACAATTTTATCTCAATAGTAATTTGTAGTTGTCCTACTATGTAATTGTCCTACTAGTGAGGATAAAGAATGTACTGGTACACGGACCTTAAGATGGATATTGAGTAAATGCTCAAACGGCTTTCCATATGTTTTTTTCATTATGGCTTGGCTTAAAAAAAAGTGCAGCGTTCTCCCACTGCAGAGGAGAAATGTTTTTGACGCATGGCCACAGAAGGAGTGGCCAGTCCGCTCACATGCAGGTGACCTCCGCTTTGCCCTCCTCCTGGTCGAAGCAGCCCTCCTCCAGGTGCGACATCGAGCTGGGGGCTCCAAAGGCCGGAAAGCCACCGATGCCCCCGGCCACAGGGGAGAGCTCCTGCCGAAGCGCGGCGCCGCTGACGGAGCGGCTGGATACGTCGCAGTGCACCGACAGAACCTGAACATAGAGTCACGAAGTGTCCTTTAGTTTCTAGTTCCAGGTGACCTAAAGACATTCATCCACCCGTTTTCAATTGCATTTATCTTCATTAGGGTCGCAGGTGAGCTGGAGCCCGTACTTGCTCACTTTAGACTGGTTGCCAGTCAGTTTCTGGGCACATACAAGGCAAACAACCATTCACAGATTCATTCCAAACTACAGACAATTTTTAAAATGCGTATTTTTGGAATGTGGGAGGAAGTACCCAGAAAAAAATTATACAAGCATGTACACCACTGCAAACTACAACCACAATAATGTGGTTTTATAGTTACTGTATTTTGGAACACATCCACAAGTCCAAATTGACCACCAGAGTGCAGTGTGGACCGTTGTACATTTCTCACCTGGTTCCTGTGCTGTGCTGCTGCCTGACTCCTGACAGGCCGCTGAAGAAACACAACTTGCTTGGTGGCCAGATTCCCATCACTAACACAAACACAAAACAATTAGCAAAGAAATACTCCATGCTGTACATACAATTTACCAGACACAATTTTTGCCTTTAGAAAAAAAATAATGATCAGCTTTGAAGCACGATGAACTTTCCTTCACTGCGGGAGATCTGACCTACAATAGTGTCAGGTAAAAAAATTAATTAAAATTGAAAACGGAGATACCTTACAAAATAAAATTGTAACTATTTTGCCACTGCCATATGAGGACTAAATACAGCCGTTTAAGTGACATGGGTTCATGATTGTGTGCATGCAAAAACATGATGTGTGTGTTGTGAGATGCAATATGGTCATCTCTGTCATGGCTTTGCTTTCATCTTGTGGCATCTTTGCGCAACTACAACTCTTTTGCAATCGGCCTGTGGGCTCAAGCCTACAACCGAAGCAGATGTGATGACAGAGTGTACAATATCCGCCTTCTTGTATGCTAGTGCTTCATTGCTGGTTGAATATAGTATTCATGTGCACATCGTTACCTGTCATGTCGAATGATAGGAGTGGGCAGCACGCACGTCAGCAGCCATCCAAACTCAGCCAGAGTGTGAAGTAGCGGCCCGTAGTCTGTTTTCACACTGGATCCCTGAGTGGACACGACACAAAGAAACACTGTTTAAGACAACAAGCAGCGTATACACGCAAATAGAAATTGCCTCCATCCAAGAAAAAAAGGACTATAAGGTTGGTTGTTGCATCACAGCATATCACTGCAACCTTCGATACTGTGCCCACAAAGCAGTGAGCATCACACAGTCAGTCGGCTATGATAAAAAAGATGAAGCCACATAGAGATTAGACAAAATGGTTGATCACCAAATCTTTGTCGCATTTCGTGTTATGCTTTTCATGCAGAACAGTAGTGTAAAATTGCTTCTAGTAAGAGAAAAGATCGTCCAGTGATGCCATGACAGTCTGCTTTCTCATTAACATGTTGAAGTAATAACACACAAAAAAAAGCCTCATAATAAGAAACTTTTGCCGACCTCAATGACAGTCCACTGCTCCACCACGATGGTGTCGTTGGCAGGAGGGGCGGTGCTCTTCTCTTCGTACACAAAAAGGCCTTCCAGCGACCGTGGCACGGGTTCACCTGAAACCCAGACAATCATTTTGTTTTCATCACTTTAATCCCGCAAGAAATCCAGACAACTGTTTTTTTGGAGAAAATCTTCAGAGTGAGTGCTCGCTCGTATGAGAGGAATAGGAAGTGAGGTTGTTAAGGCGGCAGAGACAGTACTAAAAATAGGCAAAGTGGACAACAGGGGGCCACAGCCACAATCACAACAGGAAGTGCCAAATCTTATGGCTGAATGACTCTTTTAGGACTACTGAACAAACAACACAGTGGCTCCATGTTGGGCGGATGGGGGGGCCCGACCTTTTGGGGTATCCCAGTAGACAAAGGAGTCCACCAGCGACCAGCCTCTGCGGTAGTAGGCGGCCGTCAGCTCCAGCCAATCGGCTTCCAGGGCACTCACCACCTGGCCCTTCCTGGAGACGCGCATGGACAACGCCCCCTGGTGGTACTGGCATGCCAACGATTCCAGAGGGGCGCAACCCGGAGCCCAGGAGTGGAAGAAGACCAGAAGTCGCATGTCTGGGAAGAAAGAATGACAGTCTGTGACATCTGTTTGATGAGTCTCCAGAGAGGTTGACCATGTCTCACCAGGACTGTATGCGACGGTATCCTCCAGTTCTCTGTCTCCTGGAGGGGTTCGAGGGGGAGTGTGTGGGGGAGAGCGGCAGCCCCTCTTCGGACTGTGCAGCCGGCTGCCGTTGCTCAACACGCTCACCTGCTGGAGGACTGAGCCGACGAAACGGACCCCCCCACGGGCACTGCTGTTCACCTTAGGGAGAGACAACCCCCCAAAATTATTAAAGCCTTCGCACGACGCAAAAATTGCATTTCCTTTTACTCTATGCTACCCGTATTGAGCCAAGTCATCTATTTTACAAAACCCATAGTTAATTGAAAATGGGGTATGTCCAGTGAACCCTTGCTCTACTGTGGTTCACCGTTCAGGGCTTTGCTGTTTCACCAATTTTTTTTGTGCAGTTTTTATTTATTTATTTTTAACAGTGCATTGTATTCTGCATCCTGATTAGCGAAGGGATTGCAGACACATGTCAACAGTCTCCGCGCCTCGTGTCTACACAGCTTGCCAAATTTATATTTGCAACAAAAACAGGTTTAGATCTTTGATTTAATTCAACAGTACAATTTTGTATTGTATAATAAATGTTAAAAAAAATAAAGCCGACTAACTGTCGTGTTTGTAAGTTCATGGTAATATTAAAATAATGTCACTTACTCCCAAACGTTAAAATGACAATGTATGTTATTTGCTAAAGACTCCGCATTTATTTAGTTTATTGTGCCCCCTGCTGTTATATTTGCGGGTTGGATGGTTAATGTTGATTAGGAGTTGCGTCAATTTGAGAAGAAGAGACGAAAACATGAGGCGCACCGGACTAGAGTCTCGATTTCTTCGAATTAATCCAAAATTCTTGTCTAGAAGGCTAAATGGAATGTGGCCATGACTAATGTGTGTTTTATGGTGCTGGGGTGCATGTAGGTATGTTGTACATTGTGTCATTGTATATTTTTGACATAGTTCCCCCCAAAATAGTGTTCATCAGCGATGGACTTGTGGATAATCAAGGTTGTTGAAGATTGGGCGACTCGTCAAGTCTTTCTAAACTTGGAAGAAAACCTTTAGGAGCAGTTACACTGACTACTTCACAGATGTTGCCTATCGCCGGTTCTTTTTGGGACATAATCCCCGCGATAAACGAGAGTTCACTGTACATTATGAAAAAAAAAACATTTCATGGCACACTACAAAACGAAAATGTCACAAAAACATAGATACGCAGTTGAACTATGTACCCTCTGCTGTTGAGTGGACGAGCAGTTACAGTTATCGTAAACCAGGATGTCAATCTACCACTGTGCATTGTTTACATCGGATCAGAAGAACACCCTGGTGTAATAACCACTTAAAATATCCTAAGTGTTCTAAAATGACTACTTCAAGCCAAAATGGCAGACTTTCATTTTGTTTTACGACACGGTTTCAAAATGCGTTTCCATATACAGTAGCTGATCAAGGTTTCCTCAAATGACCAGCGACAAAGAAAGTTGTTATCCTCACCCTGTCAATTAGTGCTCGAACAATCTCGCCGGTCAGTGAGTCTCCGGGTAGTGGCCACTCTTCCACCCTTAGCACAGGCACGCTGTGGCACATGGATGCCGTCTGTTGACTAGAAAGACAAAATAAAATGCACATATACATAGATGGATAAATAGATAGATATACATCCTCACTCGGGTCGCGGGGGGTGCTGGAGCCTATCCCAGCCGTCTTCAGGCAGTAGGCGGGGGACACCCTGAACCGGTTGCCAGCCAGTTGCAGGGCACATAAAGACGAACAACCATCCGCGCTCACACTCACACCTAGGGACAATTTTGAGTGTTCAATCAGCCGGCATGTTTTTGGAATGTGGGAGGAAACCGGAGTACCCGGAGAAAACCCACGCAGCCTGGGGAGAACATGCAAACTCCACACAGGAATGCTGGAGCCTGGATCGAACCCACGACCTCTGCACTGTGAGGTCGACACTCTAACCACTCGACCACAA